GTTAGCTACTGTGATTCCTTGCGATCTTGCTACGGCACGAGAAGTGCAAAAACGCATAATCGCACCCGCCCGCCTGGTGCGTTCCAGCCTGGGTGTTCACTTTGGACCGTCCACTTCTTTTAAGGGTACGATTCAGCCTTCTAATTTAGAATGATAAATATTCTAATTTATTCTAAATTAGACTTAGAATGTTTTAGAGTCAAAAGGAGCACTGAAAATGTTGTATACACTCGAACGTGGATCAGACAATGAAAATGACAATCGTACTGATGACCGGAAGGCGCAGTGCATTGAAAGCAAATTACTCAAAGCTGCCTACGGTGACCTGATTCATCCAGAAGCGCCAACAGAGCTCTGCATGCATCTTTTCGAAGGCGTCCAGTTATTGATCCGGTTTCCCAAGGATTATCCGTCAAGGTTAGCTGGATTCGTAATTTCCAAAAATTTATAATTTGGTACTTTGATCAGCTAATTTGGTACATTGCATCGCTCCGCAGTTAGCAGCTGGCAACTTTTCCACTTGTTTTGACCAGTGCTACATTATCGTCTGGTGGTCACCGTACTGATGACCATAATGTTCATATCCTTGCAAAGTTTCAGCTTCACAGCTTGTTTAGTAAGCCACTTCGCTACAAATATTTTTGAAGTTCTCTCAGTCGTAGTGCAAGTGCAAATCGAGACTCAGCCAACTTAGAAGTATTCGCGAGATTTTAAAATATCATTGGATGTTTGCCACGTAACACCAACTTGTCTTGAGCACTGCTGCCCCAAGAGCATAATGAAGAATTTGCCGACTTATACACAATTAGTCAACTAGCCGGTAATGCGCAGTGGAGGAGTGTCTCGGGTACTTTAGGCTGTTTTGGACGCATTGGTAGATGAGTGCATCAGAACATACGAGAATTAATCGCGGTGATCCTCCAATGCATCTGCCCCATAAACAGCACAGAAACTCTAAATTCGTGGCTTTTTCCATAGCTGGAACATCCAATCCAACTGAGAGATGAAAAAACAGCGAAGTCTGTAAGATCTTTTTGAGTCTTCTTACACTAACTTTGATACTTTGATTATATGTTGCTCCAACATCGTTTTGCATGCATTTTTGCACATATACAAATGCAAAAATGCGTAGTGCGACCATCCACGGTATATATATATACCATGGAATATATATATATGTATATATATGTATATATATATGCCGTGGTATATATACCATGGAATATCTGGACCGACACATATATATATATATACATATATATATATATATATATATATATATGTGTGTCGGTCCAGATATTTCAACT